GTTCTATTATACTTATATAGAAGTAGTTACAGGGACATATAACAGACAGTTCTATTATACTTACATGGAAGTAGTTACAGGGACATATAATAGTTCTATTATACTTACATGGAAGTAGTTACAGGGACATATAATAGTTCTATTATACTTACATGGAAGTAGTTACAGGGACATACAACAGACAGTTCTATTATACTTATATAGAAGTAGTTACGGGACATATAACAGACAGTTCTATTATACTTATATGGAAGTAGTTACAGGGACATATACCAGACAGTTCTATTATACTTATATAAAGTAGTTACAGGGACATATAATAGTTATATTATACTTACATGGAAGTAGTTACAGGGACATACAAAAGACAGTTCTATTATACTTATACAGACACACATACACTATTTGTTTCTTATTTTAATATCCTAGTTATACATTCTTCTCTTCACTTATAATTCCATACATGTAACATCATCTCTTGTTTATATTTACAAGTTTTACATTTTCTTCTCTTCTTTCTTTACCCACTGTATCTCATTTGATACACCATATTCTTGCTATAGCTTAAAGTGTTTTTAATCTTTTGATTTTATATACCCTCACATCCCCATCTCTTTTATATTCTTATAATTGCTACAATATACAGATTTTACCCCAATTTTTGTTACACGTTTTACACTATTTGTATTATTTATTACCTCCTTAATTTTCTTTTAATCCTTCAGCTATCGTCCCATACATTTCTACATTACCCAAGTGTTATCTTCATGTCATATCCACACCAACATCTTTGTTGTATACATTTCTTCTTAAAAAAATATTTTCATCATCTTCTATCTTTCATCTTCAATATATATATATATATAAAATATACATGCACATTTTTTTAATTGTACTGACACCCCATTAACTTTTTCTACCCCCACCTGACAATATTTTTCTGCTTAATTTCCTCTAAAGTTTTCAATTCTAGCCTTCATACCTCACGTCTACTTCTACTTTTTTACTTCCTTTTAATGACCCACACCTGAATTTTGTCCTTCCCGTTCAAAAGCTTAGCCTTCACTTAGTATCAACTCTCACAATGTCTTCCTCCCTGTCTCTTATGGCTACTTCCTACAACTTCAACCTATTATTCCAAATTCCTTCTTTCTTGAGAATTCGCTCCCTTTTTCTTGTTTATATTTCACTATTACAAGTCTTGGCCACTTTCCTCCTTTCATTCCAACTGGACAAATCCATATGCCTTCTTTACTAATTCACCACTTCTGACATTTTACTGGGCTTTTTTTCCAACCTTCAATTATTTTGAATACCAGGTTCTCTTATTTTCTAATTCAATAAATCTTTTCTTGTTTTGGCTTCAAACTGCATCTTCATAAAATTTCTTCATATTTAGTCCATACCTTATCATTTCAATTTCAGTTCATTCACTGTATCTTTAACTTACTTCTTGCCTTTTTAATATGGGAAATTAGAATTTTACCCATCTTTCCAATAATTTCCTTATCTCCCAAAAGATTACTTTTCCAACTATGGCCAGTTATTATTTTTTCCCCTTCTTCTGTTATCAGTAAGTAATTGGTGTTAGGGACAATTCCATCATTAGTCTTCATCAACTTTACTTTTTTGTTATCATGGTGAATAAGAACCCTATTCAAACACGTATAATCATAGTCATTATCATACAGCAATATTTACCTGAGGATTATAATCAGGATCATCTTCATCATCATCATCATCTTTCTCTTCATCTTCATCCTCCTCCTCTTCACCTTCCTCTTCTTCATCAAACTACAATCAGGATCACGTAAAGTTAAAAAACTGTTAGAGATTCAGCACTCAGACACTCCTTTGGAAAACTATAAATGTTAAAAACACAAACAGAAGTAAATGGGCATCTCACACTAAAAAAGAAGTAAACAGAGCATCTCACCCTAAAAAAAAGTAAACGGAGCATCTCACCCTAAAAAAAGTAAACGGAGCATCTCATCCTAAAAAAGTAAACGGAGCATCTCACACTAAAAAGAAGTAAACGGGGGCATCTCACACTAAAAAGAAGTAAACGGGGGCATCTCACACTAAAAAGAAGTAAACGGGGGCATCTCACACTAAAAAGAAGTAAACGGGGCATCTCACACTAAAAAGAAGTAAACGGGGCATCTCACACTAAAAAGAAGTAAACGGGGCATCTCACACTAAAAAGAAGTAAACGGGGCATCTCACACTCTTCCAAGTTTGACAAGTTATTAGTTCTTCCCCCCCAAACACACTGCTATCATTACTAACTAGTAAGTTTGTGGTAATCCCATGTATTAGAATTCAACTTTACTACATTCTCTGTCATTTTGAACCAGAACCCTATTCAAACATGTCTAATCACTACTCTTCTTCCCTTGCTGTAAGATGATTTTTAAAATTTCAAGCATTTTATTTCTAGATAGCCTTTTGTGTGGAAGAGCTACGTATTCATTAAACTGTCCCAATTTGGATATATCCGTAAAAATATTTTTGGGGGGAAAACAACCACATCTTGCTTATATACATATTGTATCTTTGGCACTCAAATATCACACACCACTGCAGTCACTAAATAATATACTCATCCAATAAAAAATTTTTGAAAAAATCCCTGCAATCCATATATCTAGACACATATATTACCTGTCTAAAAACCTGTGCTCACACTGAATTCACTTAAAAAATAATAAAACTTACATCTGCATCTTGTAAGGCCTCTCCAGTAAAGTAAAGAATACCCTTCGGGACAATTCTCTCTCTAATGAAATGTCCAATTTCAAAATCTGCTGCTAATAGAACTTGAGTATCTTCATCCTGTTACAGACAGAAACATTCAAAACTCTAAGTTTCTTACGATGACAATTTTATTGACGGATACTGTAAGGTGACATAACTACTTCCTGAATTGTTTGTAACTGAACAAATACTGTAAGGTGACATTACTACTTCCTGAATTGTTTGTAACTGAACAGATACTGTAAGGTGACATTACTACTTCCTGAATTGTTTGAAACTGAACAGATACTGTAAGGTGACATTACTACTTCCTGAATTGTTTGTAACTGAACAGATATTGTAAGGTGACATTACTACTTCCTGAATTGTTTGCAACTGAAAATATACTGTATCTTATTACTACAGTATAAGAATTTCGTAATTTAACCATTTCCCGATGGGCTTGGTATAATATACACGAATTACGTATTTATACTATAACTTTTAATGCAGTAAGTATCTTCACAAAATCTGGTAGACTTTTAGTAAAGGTTACAAGTCTTTCATACACAAAAAATCGGATTTTTTAATGAAGAATTAATAATGTAGAGTTGTTTGTGAAAATCTCGAGTCTGTTTCGTTATCATTCCAAGTGCGAAGTGATTTTCATGTTATAACTAAAAAACTATTGTTCATCCCAAAAATTATTTGTGTAATCTCTAAAACTTCTTAAATACCTTTCAAATGTTTGTTTTCAGTAAAACTTTATGTTTTGTATGTTATTTTCTCTACCCTAACTCTATGGGGTCTGTTAATTTGACCGGCCTCGTAACCACCATAACAGAGAGAGAGAGAGAAAGAAAAAAAAAAAAAGAAATAAATATAAATTATGCTTTTTTGTTCTAGAATGACTACACATTACAGCACAAAAGTTTAGTCTAAATAGCTTAAATCTCATAACATTATACATTTATATACTTATTATATTGACCTTACAATACAGAAGTTATAATGATGTGGTGCATGTGCACTCATGTTACTGTATCCAATAATATGAAACTGACCTTTAATCTTTACAAAATGACCTGTCTTGGCTGTGTTTTAGTGGACTAGTATTTTGTAAAATAGTCACATTTCAATTATTATACATTATATATGTATATACATTAATACTATTTACAAAAAAAGTTCTTAAAACTTATTTTTCTTAAACATAGAACAGTAAATAAAGAAGTAATGCAAACAGTTATCTCATCTAGTTATTGTTACGACCTCTGCATCTGTTTGCTGCTTTTCATAGGTAGCTAAGCCTTATGAAAGTTCCCACATGGAGGATTTGAAAATAATTTCTTTAAAGATTTATATATACATTTTAACTAAACAAAAAATCATAATTTACTACATCAGTATCATAGAATTCCATTATAATTTATCAAGCTTAGTAACTAAGCTGTATTTGGGTCTAAAGAAATATGAAATTTTTGAGCTCTCTAAAGATTTACCTTGTCGTTTGAAATCTTGTGTGAAAAGAATGAGATTAAAACAAGAACACGTCAAAATGGATGACAAAACCACTAGGGGAACATTCTGAGCTTTTGATTGGTTATTCATGTCATACATAGAAGTAATTGTATATAGGGGACCGTTTCCAAAAATGGAAAG